CCTGGCCACGGCTGCCATCACTTTGGGACGTTCCCATCACCCCCTCACTGTCCCTGCCGCCCGGGGACCGCAGCCACTTGCCAGGTCTCAGGGCAGGGTTTGATGCAGAAATAAGTGTAAATGAACCTTCAGGGCATCGATCTGCAGCAGGGGTCAGCGAGGGAGTGCTCTCTACACGACTTCATAATCTCAGGGAGCTGGGAAACGATGCTTCTTGTAATTCTTCGTGCAGTCTCCCGCTTCAGCTCGTGCTGTCCTCGCTGCCCCTCCAGGTGCTGGTGCTGCGCTTGCGGGACAGCATCATCAAGATGGGCGAGGAGCTGGAGAAGGCAGCTGAGTCGGAAGCGCGGGAGAAGGAGAACACCAAGTACTACCAGATGAGGATGGAGGAGATGAAGGCAGATATGAACGAGCTGGTTCAGAGGGAGCTGGAGTCCAGCCGCCGGCGCATGGAGCTGGTAAGAGGCTGCTGCCACCATGGGCCCACCGGGTCTGAGGCCAACAGACTCCCCTCTGTAATGGGGTGAGGGTTTTTGGGTGTTGACACCTCCGTGATGCACCCCAGGTTTTTCAGGCAGCTACATCTGCTTTGCAGACCCTCATCATGCACAACTCAGCCCCTGGGCCCAGCCACAGGACTGGGCTCGTTGGAGATCTGTGCTGTCTTCTCTCTTGGTTGGGGTAAAGACTGTGGAGCATGTTTTTGGCAAGTAGAAACCCCAGCTGTGCACAGTGCCATGTCCTAGCGAGAAACCAGCAGCCTTTTGGCCAGGGTGGTGCTCTACCAGGAACCCTAGCAGCTGCGTCAATGACGGACGCTGGGAGAGCGCAGAGTAAATCGGGCCCGAAGGTGGGCTGCTGGCGTGGCTTGGCTGTTGCCCCTGGCCAGGCGGGCTGCGAGGCGCCAGGAAAGCTCCCAGAGCCTCCTGCGATCTGTCGCATCAAACTTGCTCTGCGGAAACCTCCCGTAACCTGCAGATTGGCCTGAGGGTCCCAGAACAACAAGTAATTTTCTGCTTGATGCTTTGTGCACTCTCTGGTTGGAGACGGATCTAGCGCATATGTTGTTAGCAGGCCCCTGGGCAGGAAAGGAGGGTTTCACGGGCTGCTTCCTCGGCAGTTTGTCCTGGGTTTGTTCACGTCAGCGTGCTGGGCTCAGCTGTGACGAGCAGAGCCGGGAGAGCTCTCCGAGCAGCTCTTTGAAGGTGCTGTGAATTGCTTCTCTTCCCTTCTTGGCCCCAAGTCACTTAATCACGGCTTTTACTGTGGCTCCTACCTCTCGCTTGCCTGCAGCCGGGCTGGCCTGACTGGGCAGTGCCTCTGCGCCGTGTTTTGTTCCAAGAAGGAAACTGCTTTGTCCACTCAGTTCTAGTAAACGCTGAGCAGTTATTTGGGTTGTGCCTGGCCACCTTCTTGGCAAAGCTCATGCTGCATTCGAGGCCATCAGGCTCTTTGTGCGCTGGAAGCGCAAGCCCCCTCCGCAGCTCGTATCTCGCGGCGAGCTCGGCTCCCTGGGGCTTTTGCTGCTTTTCTCAGGGACGGGCAGAACTGCAGCAGCGGCTCTGCCCGAGCAGCAGAGCTCCAGGCCCCATCGGCGCGGCAGAAACGCCCCC